TCATTATGTGTCCCAGAAATGTCAACTATTTTTCTGATTCTAAGCATACGTCCTTTATGTGCGGTGGAGTAATGGAAAGCGACTCTGTTTGAGGAATCGGAGAGCCGAGTTCGAATTCCAGTCGAATCCATTACATTCACTTAAGGCTATGGATAAATATCAAGACAGACCGGATTTTATAGCCCTGGATGGCAATTGGTCTACCGCAGAAAGAAATTGCAAACTACTGCAGAAAAATCTGCCTCGTCAGTCATGTATCGAAAGATAAATAATCCCCAAAGCGTGTATCACGCATGGCACATAACTGACTGATTCTTTTTGCTTGTATTTTCATCGTTAATCACATCTTTTCCAAGCATTCTAATTCTTTTCTTCTTCGAGGTGTTATGCCCTTTCAAGGACACAGGTGTTCATAGCTCTCTACAACTTCCTATCCTCGTAACAACATTTGTCTTTTTAATATCCTTCTAATTCCCTGTTTCATTTATAGAAGCTTGTTAGGTAGATTACGTTTCCCGCTGACCCCCTTGCATTAAATGTCCCTGTGAGTGTCAAATTTTCCAACTCTTTCCTCATTATAAAAATGCCAACTGTCTTTGAGTCTAAGCATGTGTCCTTTTTGTTCCCATTTTCTTTAAACCTTCCTCGTTACTCACATGCCCCGTAGTTGTTATTCTCCGTATTCTTAAGTAGAACCACTTTTCTGTTGCCTCACGTTTCTTCATTTGTGAGAAGATTGTACAGCGTCAATGTCATATAGGTGGATCGATAGCCGTTCAACTCTCTTGTCTCTTTCTTTTCTTCTTAAGAAATTTTCATGTTTTCAATACTTTAATTTTTTGAAAAGCATCTTTTATTCCAAATTTGTTTTCGGGTTTTGGTGTCGCTTAATGGATAGCGGCTCGGATTGAGGAATCGGAGAGCCGAGTTCGAATTCCAGTCAAATCACATTAACTTACGTGCTAATACCTTTGAGAAAGGTATGAATCCTCCTCTCCCCCCCCAGCTATGTGTAAATAACAGGACAGACCGGGCTGCCTTGAATGGCAACTGGTCTACTGCAGAAAGAAATGGCAACCTACTGCTGGAAAAAAAATCTGCCTCACCGGTCGTGTATCGAAAGATACATGATCACCTAAGCGACTGATTTAGTAACTGTTTTTGTTTACTTAAGACCCGCGTCAGCAATTTTGTTACTTAAGATTCAGTCAAATCTTAATATAGTTGCTTATAAATAAACGTTGCTTTTAAAAATGTGAGTTTAATTTGCATGTTTAATACGAACTGGACTGTTCTTTTATTGATTCCAATATATACGTAGATTTCTTTTTTTTCTTAATCATGATTGTTACAAAGACAAAAGGAAAACTTAGCGGACGTGTTTTGTCCCCTGATGGATTTTATCAAGGCAAAGGTAACGATTTTATTCCCCACCAAATAATAATAGTAATATCTTTTAGTTTTTACCTTGACTTTCAGTTAACCTTGCATACATTTGAGCGTTGTTAAATTTTTAAACAAATCTGATAAACTAACGTCATTCTTACTTTTGTGTATAAATGATTATTGGAAAATAAAATCCTTACACTTGCCTTAATAAAGTCCATATACCTGTTACCGTACGATCATCGGTTAAGTAACGTCGAACCTGGTCGTACTTGCATGGGTGATGGGTTGTGAATTCCAGGTTCTGTAAGCTTGGATGTGCGGGTGGTGTAATGGGTAATGTCTCGGAACTGTTACTCGGAGAGAAGAGTTTCAGTTCCAGTTGGGTTCGTTGTATTCATTTACGTGCAAATATCCTTGGGGAAAGGTATGAAACAACCTGTTCTCCCCCAGTGGGCTAATTACAAAAACTTGCATCACTATCTCAAAAGAAATGAATAAAATTGCGTGCAAAATATTTAGATTTCGGCTTTAAATAATCCGAAGAAGTTGATATGCCGCTAAACAAAGACAATGAAAGAACCAGTCAGTTAAATTTAGATCTGGTGTTTCAAAATATTCTGAATTATACATAATCATCTACCGTAGAACACAACCATTGTTTCGGCGATCACTCTCACATTCGTCCGGGTTTTATTTGTTGCCCCACAATCGGACAAACTTGCCTTATATACTTATATTGATTTAATTGGCGAGAAATCCAAAAGATCCTTGTTTCTATAAATTTCTGCCGTATTAGTTCTTATTTTTACTACAAGCTTTCGTCTGTTCCTACAGACATCTTCAGGTATGGAATAGATGTTGTTCTTGTTTTTTCTCTTAGTAATAAGAGGACAACGAAAATATATGTATTGTTGTATCCGAAAATGCTATTGGAAATGAGTTATTGTTTTTGGAGCGCGCAGTAGCAACGCTGAGTTTGATTTTAAATTTTTTACAGTTGTGCGTTCATGTACAAATATGGTGATATACGAATTTTTTACTGGTAAATTTTTCTGTCAAAGTGGCATGAACTATATTGTTCAATAATTACAGTAATGTCGCACTTATTATCCAAAAGTCGCACGTGGATCAGTTATTTTAATTACGATAAACGTGCAATCAATTTACAAATTCATGAATTATTCACACAAAAACAAATGCAAAGGTTAATGATTTAATGATCTTTTCATTCATAACGGATTCGGAGGTTTTTGTATATTATTTGAATTGTTTGCGACGATGGATTTCTCGCCAATTAAATCATTAACCTTTGCATTTGTTCTTGTGTGAATAATTCATGAATATATATATATATATATATATATATATATATATATATATATATATATATCCAATCACCTGAAGAAGACCGGAGCGTACAACGGCCGAAACGTTGTAATAAATATGGCGACAAAGATTAGGACAATAGTCCGAATAATGTAAATTAAAAAAAAATCCAGTGCTCGAACATTCATGAAGTTGACTTGCATATAAATATATACGGTAGTAAATTTGTGCTGAAAAATGTTGCCTTATTCTGTTACATTTGGGTAACACGTTTACTCTATCTTCGTCTTTTGCCTTTCTTTCTCTTGCTCTTCTCTTCATCTCTTTCTTACTTTCTTTTCTCTAATTTACTCTCCATTTCTCCTTCGTTTTCTTCTCTCTTCTCGCTCTTGAATCCGTAGAAATGCGATTACACATTTACTAATTTAAGAATATTTTGCTTTTTAAACGAAAAAAAAAACATGTTTTCTTTTCGTATTTCAGTTCTTTCGGCTCCCAATCTGTCGCTGATCATCATAACCGATGTTACATTACAACGATCGCCTGTTTGAAGATTGGCAGGAGTTGGATAAAAAAAAAAAAAATAAAGATTTGATGGACGGAGGGAAAATAAAGATTTTACGACTGATAAAGAGGCGACACGAAGTCTAATTTAAATAAGAACGACGCGTTGAATTTCTTTAAAACACCTTCAGGAATTTCACAACTGACTACGCAATTCAGTCAAGGTAAGTGAAAATTTTGGTCTCTCTCGAATGTTACTTGGTTGCCTGAATAAGACAACACATAAAATTAGTCTCAACTTGAATGCCCAGAGTTGGGTTTTGCCTGATTGTTTCAGAAAAATCAATCGTGAATTGTGACTCTCCACCCACCTTTTATTTTATTTGCCTTTTTTATTTCTTAGCTCAAGATTTATCGTGTGCTCCACTACTATAACCTCTCTACTGGGACTGAGATTAGGGGAGGGAGGTTGCACTGCCGTAGTCCAATACTAGATTAGTGAGCTTGATACTCACTGAGATCTTTATATTTATTAGATGAGCTTACATTCGTTAGTAGAAAACCATGAGTTTTATTCGTTATTCCTTTCTTGCTTGACAATTTAAAGATAGGATTTTTCAAATCATTTTTAAATCTCTCTCTCACTCATTCTGTCTCTCTCACTCATTCTGTCTCTCTCACTCATTCTGTCTCTCTCACTCATTCTGTCTCTCTCACTCATTCTGTCTCTCTCTGTCTCTCTCACTCATTCTGTCTCTCTCAAATGTTTCTGAAATCTAAAATGAATTCTGTTCTCTTGAATTCTGTCTGAAAACTCATTTAGGAAATCCTCATTCTGTGTATCTATAAATATATCATTCTGTCTCTCTCATATCATTCTGTCTCTATATCTATCTTTCTCTCGATATAAGTCTGTCTCTGTCTCTGAAGTTTCTCATTCTGTCTCTCTGTCTCTCTCACTCATTCTGTCTCTCTCTGTCTCTCTAACACATGTTAACTCTATCATTCCCAATCATTCTCTCTCTCTGTCTCTACCTCATTCTATCTCTCTCTGTCTCTCTCAAATTTTTTTCTCTCTCTCTTCTTTCTCAAAATTCTGATCTCTCTTATCTCTCTTTTCACATCTCTCTCTATTCAAATCTCTCACTCATTCTGTATCAAAAAGATCTCTATAAAATATGTCTCTCTATCTCTCTTTCATGTGTGTCTCTCTGTCTCTCTCATATTCTGTCTGAAATCTGTCTCAAATGTTCTCTCTCTCACTTCTCATATCTCTATATTCTGTCTCTCTCCCACATTCTGTCTCTCTCTCCATATTCTCTCTATCTCTCTCATATTCTCTCTATCTCTCTCATATTCTCTCTATCTCTCTCATATTCTCTCTATCTCTCTCATATTCTCTCTATCTCTCTCATATTCTCTTCTCTATAATCTCTCTCATAAAGAGAAATGGTATCTCTCTCATATTCTTTCTCTCTAAAAAAAAATATTCTAATCTCTATCTCTCTCAAATTCTGTTTAAAATCTCTTAAATAAAAAAAGAAGATTCATCTCAATCATATTCTTCTCTTTTATCTCTCTCATATTCTGTCTCTCTCAGAAAGGATTGGGGTTGTCTCTCTCTCTCTCAATATTCTCTCTCTAATTTTTCTCTCATATCTCTCTATCTATCTCTAAAAATCTCTCTATCTCTCTCATATTCTGTTAAATCTCTCTTTGAATCTGAATTCTCACTCTCTCTCTCATATTCTCTCTAAACTTAAGACAAAATTCATTATCTCTTGATCATATCTCTAAATAGAAAAAATACAAATTTCTCTCTCTCTCTCTCTCATTATTACATCTCTCTCTCTCTAAAAAATTCTATCTCTGTCTCTCATCGATATATTCTTAATCTCTCTCTCTCTCATATTCTGTCTCTCTCTCTCTCTCTCATATATTCTGTCTCTCTCTCTCTCATATTCTGTCTCTCTCTCATATTCTGTCTCTCTCTCATATTCTGTCTCTCTCTCATATTCTGTCTCTCTCTTTCACTCATTCTCAATGCTGAGATTAACCGTTTTCGTATGAAACATTTGGCATTCTATGACCGAACAGCCAGTTCTGTTGTCGGTTGAAATTTACAAAATCTTTCTCTTAAAATAGTTATTCAGGAAAATAGGTTTCTCATCTCCAGTAATTGTGGTCGCTTTTTCTCGTATTGATGGAAATTTTCTTAACCTTTTCTCTGTAGTGTTGGAAACCAACATCTTTATTACGTCATTATTGTCCCTCCTAGTTACATGTGCCATCCAGTTTAGCTGTTGCCACTGTTAGAAGTTTTCAAGTGGTGTGTTTTCTCTTATTTTGTGAAGTTTTATATTTGATTATGTAACGCCAATCTACAAGATCTGACGAAGGACGCTCCTCTTCACGACCAACAGGATTCATTCGCTTGAAAACCATTTTTAATCATTGATCCGAGAATATGATTTTATTTCGCTGCGAGTTAATTGTTGAACAAGCTGGACATAATAGCCATATGATCTGATCTGACAAAGCTATTTAATAACTTGACTCCAGTTTTTAAGTTAATGTATGGGTTTCAGGGGATCTTGGGATGCTGGGAAAACCTACTTCTAACTCAGTCTATTTCCTCATGTCTTACATTAACATTTGTTATAATTGATCCATATATCGATGTATTTGAAGTGATTAGCATTGTTTTAATCATTTTACTCCAAGCAAGGTAACAAAGCCACTAAGACACAATTGGTTGGTATGAGAGAATAGGAGAAAAATTAGGAGAGAAAACAATAAATTATAACGATTGGCATTGCATTAAAATTTTTGAAGATCAAAGTTAACTGGAAAGCAAGAAGCCGGAAGAAAATTCCACTAGCGAGAAATGATAGAGAAGAAACTGTTAGCATAGAACTTACGGTGACATCTAGACATTTCAACTGTAAAATGATGGGACCTTGCAGCCAATCCAGTAGTACGTTTAAATTCACGAAGTCTAGGTGCCAAAGAGGCAAGTTCATCAGAACAATTATGATATATATACACACACCTCAGAAGAAATAAACTACATCCAATTTCAAAGTTTAGTAACGTAATCCCAACTCAACTTAAATAAACAGTATTTGGAACTAGTATAGAGTAGGTCCACCATTTGCTAGTTTCAGTGTTTGTATTCGATTTTTCATGGATTTGATAAAGTTATCAACAATAGTCTGATCCATATTTTGCCACTCCTTTGGCAATACATGTTTAAGGATTGCTACTGACATAATTTTCGTTGCATGCTCTCGAAGTTTTCAGTCAAGGTGCTCTCATACGTGCTCTATCGGATTCATGTCCGGATTTTGGGCTACCCATGACAGTAACTTAATTCCATGCGATTCCTTCCAGCTTTTGCTACTTTGCTCGTATCACATGGCTCTCCATCTTCTTGAAAAAAGTAGACATTCTTGTCAATCTAATTGTGTTCAAATAGTGGAAGTAATCCTTTCTCTAATATTTGACAGTGTTTTAGACCATTCAACCGCTCGTCAACAAGAATCAGCTCAGATTTCCGTCCAAACTAGACAGCGCTCACACCATTACTCCAATCCCTCCATGTTTCACGGTTGTCTGCAGACATTCAGTGTTTCAAGTCGCATTCTGATTTCTCCAAACATAAACCTGTCTCGAATTCGAATATTGGCAGAATTTACTTTCATCTGATCAAATTCCGGACTGTCAAAATTCGTATTTGCTCTCGAATTCTCTTGCCCAGTCGATACGCCAGTTCCTGTTAACCTCTGAAATCAAGGGCTTCTTTCTTCTTTGATAGTCTAGCTCTTTCAGAGTCTTTCTCATCGCATATGGCGACATATCCATACTGTTGGCAACGTCTTTGACGCTCTGAAGGCAGTTTCTGATGACTTCCCTCTTCACTGCCCTTTTCCTTCGCTCAGAGGATGTTTAGTCTTCCTGAACGTTGTTCCATAGGACAATGGCCTTCTTCATTAAATTTCTTGACAATATTATTAACCGTTTGATGATTAACCTGGAAAAGCCTAGCAATTTCTCTATTTGACTTGCCATACTGATGCCATCCTATTATTTGCCCTCATTGAAATTCCCCAATTTCCTTACTTCCGCGAACTTTCATTGCAAAATATAAGTCAACTATCATTCATAGATGAGAGTAGCTTGATACTAACACGATATTGTCTGAAAAAAAAGATGTTATTACACAATCCAAAATTGCTGCAAACACGGGTGGCTAAAAACTTATAGCCCACCGTATATAGATAGAAGAAGCATATAGAAGCTACGTTACAGCGGGATGGGGTGGGAAGTGATTGAAGCTGAGATTCCAGTTCAGGACCCTTAACATTGCAGATCCTTTGTATTTTATCAAGAATATTTAAATACATAGAAGTAACAGACTAGATGCGGTAGCAATGTTTAATTCGTGGACGAAAGCTAGACTTATTAATGTGCAAGATAGTTACTGTCGAGAAAAATTGTCTAGCGCAACACAGTGAACAAAGTTTCCTAGCAGCAGACCTAGCAATTGATTCAATATAATCTTTCCACTTCATGTCGACAGAAAACTTTAACCCACGAAGGGGAAATGAATCGGTCTCCTGGAGGTTATAATCAGTCGTTCTGGTGGAAAGCAAAGTGGTTATCTCAGACAAAAGATTGTTAATTCTACAGGGTAGTCCGAAAGTCTTTTTCTCTCAATATCAAAAAGTAATGAGGACAATAGAAGACCGTTTTCATAGTGACTTTTTAGGTGATCGTAGAACAGATGCCTCCACCTCTGCACATGTGTCCCTATGCGTTGTGGGCCGTCCTATCCACGGTTTGCCCTTAAGAGATCCCGTGAGAAACAGTTTGTTTCCATCGCAATATCGTCCTCTTCTGAGGAGCTGGTTTGCTAAATCTTGCCGTGAATCATGTCGTACATCCTCCATGCTCTTGCCAGAATGCACATGATCATGTTCCATACACTTGCAAGCAACCTCTCGGCCAAACTGTAGGTGCTCGTGTCAGCCATCTGAAATAGAAAATTATATTATGTAGGAGGTGACAAGTTTTTTTCCGACCACGCTGTACACTCAGAATGTTGATGATGTATTCACAGTATGTGATATATATATATATATATATATATATATATGACTCAATCGCCAGACCATCTACATATATGAATAGATTATAGTGATGAAGGCTTGTACAGAATCAGCCACATTTTTTTGAACAACAGGAATTGTGTGTACGTTGTGCCAGGAAGTTTCTAAATTAGCAGGCATAAGTTTTAATTCAATTTTCCTGCTATTTAACCCATAGCTGGGAGAAGAGATGGATTCATACCTTTCCCAATTTTATTCGTGCGAAAGTGAATGTAATGAGCTCGGACGGAATCCACTGATCTCTTTTCTGGGCTGCTACATTACATTACCCTGTGTGTGTGTATACACACACACACACACACACACACACACACACACACACACACACGGCATCAAATGACAAGTGGAAAAATCTTACATTTTGCCGACGCGTTTCGTCTTCCGACTTTTTCAAGGCAGAGATGAAATCGAAATGTTTTTGTTGTTACATTTTAATGCACATCATTTTTGCCTTGAAAAAGTCGAAGACGAAACGCGTCGGCAAAATGTAAGATATCATCATATATGTATGAGATAAATGTAGGTAAAATGTAGGGCATCATCATATATGTATGAGATAAATGTAGGTAAAATGTAGGGCATCATCATATATGTATGAGATAAATGTAATTAAAATGTAGGGCATCATCATATATGTATGAGATAAATGTAGGTAAAATGTAGGGCATCATCATATATGTATGAGATAAATGTAGGTAAAATGTAGGGCATCATCATATATGTATGAGATAAATGTAGGTAAAATGTAGGGAATCATATATGTATGAGATAAATGTAGGGCATCATCGTATATGTATGAGATAAATGTAGGGCATCAAATGTATGAGTAAAATGTAGGGCATCATCATATATGTATGAGATAAATGTAGGGCATCAAAATGTATGAGATAAATGTAAGGCATCATCGTATATATGAGATAAATGATGGGCATCAAATGAGATAAATGTAGGGCATCATCGTATATATGAGATAAATGTAGGGCATCATAAATGTAGAGATAAATGTAGGGCATCATCATATATGTATGAGATAAATGTAGGGCATCATCGTATATGTATGAGATAAATGTAGGCATCATCGTATATGTATGAGATAAATGTAGGGCATCATCGTATATGTATGAGATAAATGTAGGGCATCATCGTATATGTATGAGATAAATGTAGGGCATCATCGTATATGTATGAGATAAATGTAGGGCATCATCGTATATGTATGAGATAAATGTAGGGCATCATCATATATGTATGAGATAAATGTAGGTAAAATGTAGGGCATCATCATCATCATATATATATGTATGGCTATGCTTACTGTGAAGAAAACTTAAGCCAGAGAGTTCAAGAGCGAAAAGACAAAATGTCTGATGTGTAATACGATAACTGCACCAGTTAAACCACGAGAAATATCCGCTTGTGACTTGCTTGTCATCTAAATCAGAACAGCGCTGAAATCCACCATTAAAAGTAATGACTTATTCTTTTTCTCTCTATTACTTATTAATTGAAATCTACGTGATAGCTTTGTTAGTCAAGCAACGAACATTCTATCCAGATCTTTGTTTGAAATTTCAATTTCTTCTCTGTCTTTTATATATATATATATATATATATATATATATATATATATATATATATATATATATATATGTATAAAAATTCAAATATAAATAAAATACAGAGTGGAAAACTTTTCTATACGAAAGCGTTTCGTCCCTTTAGGAAGTTTATCAAGATAACTGTGGATATTTTAGTTTGTGACTTGTATTTATACACTGAAGTAACGTGGAGGAAATTATCGTTAAAATATTCTTTAAAGCGAACTGTATGGAAAGGTAAACTATGGAGGGTGCTAATTGATATAATTTATTGCCTAATAAAAAAGCGTAAATGTTATTGAATTTTTATTTAATGTAATTATCTATTTCTATGCATTTTATTTTGTTTAATTATACATATATTAATTCATTTATTAATTTATTTATTTTAAATATTTAAAGTTCTTCAGTTAACCGTTTTTATACAAGTTTTTAAAATTTTTATGGTCATGTTTATTTGATAAAAATCGATAATTGTACCCCCAAATCTTTTCGACAAAGTTAACCTTCATAGAGTTCATCAAAGAAATGAAACTCGTTGTTATAGAAACAGTTTCCCTTTTGTAATATATATATAAGTAAATACACATCTAAGAGCAAATGAAAATATCACGGCACACTTAAAATTTCTAAAGGGTATACATTTAAATGTTGTGAAATAAAACAATAGATTAAAAAATAGGCATACAAATATGAACTTACTTTATTTCAATGTTTCTATTCAACTAATGTGTAGCTTATTTAGTGTGAAACTTCCACCACACACACACACACACACACACACACACACATATATATATATATATATATATATATATATATATATATATAATGCTGTGACATTTCACGGCAGATTTAAGAGGACCACGCACTTAAAAAAAAAAATACAAAAAATTGTACTCACAAATACAGCTCACATCTTACTAAGAGCTTTACCTATGTAAAATGTGTGTTTTTAATTTATTTATTTATTTTTTTTGATAAAAATCCTCAGTGGAAAAATATAATGATGCCACTTCTGACCTTAGATCTCTGACTTGGACCTGGAAGGAAATGCGTATAAAACAATTCAAAGGAAATAACAATAATGATGATACCACCAATAATAATAACAATGATGATAACGATAACCATATTAATAATAATAATAAGAAACTGGCAAAAAAAAAAAATGAATAAACCCACAGACATAACAAGGTAGCGACATATGTGTACTGTAAAATATGCAAGAAGCACAAAATCGAAACCACCAAGAGCACCAACCAAACACAGTTACCCAAAATAACGATGTAACTATCCTCTGGGATATGCCAATTCAAACTGGCAGGAAAATAAAAGCCAACAGACCAGATATTATCATAAAAGACATAAGGAAATTCAAGAAGTGTATGGTTATTGACACAGCAGAGAAACGTCTTCATAAAAATTATCGAGAAATTGTCCAAATACAAGGACCTGGAGATCGAGATTAACAGGATGTGGGGAATGAAGACTGTACCAAGAGTAAAGGGCTCTGGGCCTCGTGAGAAAAGGAATGAACAGTTTTACTAACAGCGTCCCAGGTAATATCAACATAAAAGTTGCCCTGAACATCCCATATAGTAAGAAAAGTGCTATCAATTAAATGGCACTTCTATAAGGATTAAGAACCATAGTTTGGACCCGGCTCTTCCGAATAGAAAGCAGGGAACCTACACAAATAATGATAACGATAATAACAACAACAATGATGATAATAACTGTAACACCCTCTCCTGGCCCCACTGGATCGATGTACACTACAAGACCGGCCATTGGTCCTTTTATTTATTTAGTAGACACAAAATAGAAGATAATGATAAATTGTTTTTGGTTTTCTTAAACAAATCGTAATATTAGACCTTTCTGTATAAGGAAACATTCAGCATTCATTAACAGATCAGCGCTGTTGCCGGTTGAAATGTGTAAATTTTTTTTCTCTTAAAACAGTTTTTTTCAGGAAAATAGGTTTCTTCAGTCCAGTGGCTCTTATTAATGGATCTTTCTTTTCTAACCTTTTATTTGAACTAGTGTGGAATGTCAACTTGATGTCATAATTTTCTCCAAGTTACATTTGATATCCATTTTTTTCTTACTGCTGGTGCTGAAAGTCCTCAAGTGATGTATTTTCTGTTATCTGCTAGAGTTCTTTGTGATTCTGTAGCGCCGGTCCAAACAGTTCGAAAGAGCTTGGTTTTCGCCAGTCTTCACTCGCTCAAAACCATTTTCAGCCATTGAACTGAGAGAGCATTTGTATACAGCTGACCTGATATTTATGAATAGGTAGGAAAGATCTATTCATAAATATGAATTTATGTCGCTTCTCTTGTCCGCTTGTCGAAGCGGGCACTTCTAAATTCAACATGCTGACAGGCACGTGAAACTCATGGTTTAAATCCAAACAAATCCCTTCCGTTCTCGAGCAGTGTATGAATAAACGACATTTTTCTTTTGTGTTAAAATACGCTTGTCTTTTATTTTCGTTAGTTTGTTGTTCCTCCCAACAACCTGTGATGAACAAAAACATTAATGGGCTTTTCATAAATGTACCTGCCTCTCAAATAATAGGCTACCTAAAAGAAATAAAGCACTTCCAAAACATATAGAGGAAAACCCAAAATACAACGACATAATTCCAAAAAGCTTAATAAGGGAACATTTTTTCCCAAACTACACTATACTTCCAAATGTCAGAATTCTACCAATGAATTTGAGGAGCGTGGAACGGCCTTTAAATTGCTGCTGTCCCCCGGTCCACACTGATCTAGAGTGTTAGCACCTATTTGGGTATCAACTGTGGGCAAATAGGTAATCCCAAACTAGGGTCAAAACACTATGATAAAATTAAAAACAATAACTATAGTAATAATACCAGCAATTCATTTTCATAGTAATAAAATTTACCAGTATTACATTTTTGAAACAAAAAATATTAGTAATTTTATAACCGAAATTACTAATGCTCTCAAGAAAATTAAATTTCGGCTTTAAATGACTCAATGGGTTGATATGTTGTTAACCAAACTAAAGGCTACTATTGGAAGATAACTTTTCATTTACTGTTTCAAATTTG